GCCTGTGTTTTCTAGGATTTTTATGGTTGTGAGTCTAACATTTTTGTATTTTTCAAAAATATTGGTTTGGGATCATCTGTTAAAGCTATAATTTCAAAAGCTGGTAATTCTTAATTTTGTTTAGAATGAGTGACAGAGGAAACAGGCATCAATAATAACGTTAGAAAAGATAACCCTCCAACGTAAATGTCAGCATTTGTGTGAAAGAAACAAAAGTGGTTCTTCATCGACAACCTAATCCTTGCATTTGAATAATGGAAAACAGCAGATTTTATCAGCCATTACGCAGACGGAAGTACCAGTATTGAGCAAAAAAAGTAATGCATTTGAGGACCAAGGAAAGGTGTCCAACATACAGTGAATTTTAAAAAAGATATTAATGTGACGTGCTTGTGTAGCTTTTGTTCCGTGACAAGATACGTTAGAAAGGACTGCACATCACACAGACATCATCTGGTCGGATGAACTGAAGACTCTGCCTCTTCGAAAAGAAATCGCTTTCTGTTTTCCTTTTTTGCATTACCCAAAGCCGTATCAAATAAAAGGTCTCTTTATGTCTAATTTAAAGTTCAGATCCGCTGTTTTATGTTTCCTGAGATAAATGTATCATTTTATAATCAATGACATTTAAAAAGGTACACTCAGAATGTTTTGGACTTACGCTGTCATATTTAATTGTAGAAGGAAAAAATCGCTTTCAGGTATGAATGAGGAGAAAGTGGTTACACGTCATTTAATTAGTTGTCAAGGAACTGGAGGGCATTGGGTTCCACGCCCTGAAACCTGCCACAGTCCGGTCCGCCCGGCGGACAGGTTCTCATCCTGTCCGGGGCCCCCGGAAGGGTGGGCTGAGGCTTTGGGGAGCCGTGACCCGTGCTGGTGCTGCCCAGTGACAGTGGGTGAGGCCGAGCTCGCGCACGGGGACAGAGCGGTGGGCCCAGGAACGGGGCAGTGAGTGTGCTCCTGGGAGCTGCCGGGGAGGACACCCAGAGAGGAACACTGCCTGTCACCTGCCCCGCAGCTCACGACCGTGATGTCTTCGGGGCCACCTCAGGCACAGAGGTCCCGCCACACGCTGGACATTGTCATGAGCGCGGCTGTGGTATCAGTTCCCGAGCGGAGGTGTTTCTGTCAGGTTCAAAGGGGAGACACAATCAACGCCTGACGTATATTTAAAGTGCTGGTTAGAAGGACAAATTAAAATCAAGTGTCTTCTATGCCCGGCCGGTGTGGCTCAGTGGTTGAACATCGACCCTGCACCAAGAGGTCGCCGGTTCGATTCCTGGTCAGGGCACATGCCCAGGTTGTGGGCCCGATCTCCAGTGGGGGTCGTGCAGGAGGCGGCCAATCATGTTCTCTCTCATCCATGCTTCTCTCTCTCTTTCCCTCTCTCTAAAATCAATAAAGAAAAATAAAAAAATCAAAAAATCAAGTGTCTTCTATCCATAATAGAAGTTGATATAAAAAGCTTTTAATGGAAAAATAAGAGCATAGACGATCTGAGGAGCTGGGACAAGATGTACACATATTTTTTATGAGGATGTATATTTTAGCATAAATGATTCAAAGGACTGATCATACTAATAGACTACGAGAAGGATGAACTGACTTCGATACTCAGAAGTGTAACGTGGCCGACGAGGCTGTGATAAAGTCATCGCAAACACTGAAATGTGTGACGACGAAGCTGACCTGTCTGCTACGGGAGCACGGAGACAGCGTGTGCCTCCCTGTGCGTGCTCGGGCCCTCGTGCTGAGTCTCCATGAGAACACAAACCAACCAACGCTGACAGCAGTGTCCAAGGACCTGCAGGCACTGAGTTATACAGCCCAGGACGTCAGCCCTGATGTGACTGCTCTTTCCACCTCTCCTAGACACGTCACCATGACCACCCAGTCTAGAATATTCTTTTAGCGCTAAAGATGTCATCTGTCACATGGGCCCTCTCCGTCCCTGAGAGGGAAAACATCACATGGCCTCACTTCGATGTAGCATCTAAAGAACAAAATAAACCGACGGACAAAACAGCACCAGAGACACGGATGCATGGAAGAGACGGACAGATCTCAGAGGGGGGGGGGAGCGATGACCCAGAGAACATATATGCACAGCCCGTGGACACAGACAACAGTGTGATGACGGCCCGGGGTGGCGGCTGGGACAGGGTGCAGGGGGCAAAGGTGGGGAAATGGGGGACATGTAATAGAGTCAACAAGACAAAAAAAGTGGGAATCTGCACAATAGAACCCTCGTCCTTCCCCCTGTCAGACAGGAAGATGCCTGGGCCTACAGACAATTTTTTGCTAATAGGCCCCTTGCCCAGCTTTCTAGAACAATGCTGACGCTGCAGAACCTCAGCTTGTGAGACGGGATGCGGTCCAGCCGAATCCTGAATTGTTTCACAAAGCCAGTCAGTATTCGAATTCTCTGATTTATGCTTCCGGCAGCCGTAATGACCAGTAATAACGGAGAGATACTCTCCAAGGGCAAATACGCCTTGACGTAGGCTCAGCTCTGGATTTCCGCTCTTCTCCATCGTCACAAACAAGCTATCAGGTAAGTATTACTACCCCGTTGCTTCTATTCCATTGAATGTATCCAGGTGAGACTGGGCCATAAAAGTATAGGGTTCAGGTGCACAAGTTTATAATACACCATGTGTGGACTGTATTGTGTGTTCACCACCCCAAGTCGGATGATCCCATTTGAAATGAGAGAAAGTGTAAACCCAAAGGATAATTTGTCGAACATAACATACCTGGCTAGTGAGAATGACCATTTTTAGTGCTTCAGATACAAAACAGAGGACAATTTATATTGAGGATGTTACTGTGTCCTCATAATAGACTCCGGGCTGCGCATGGAAGAAACACCCACCGGGAGTCCTAAGTTCTCTGAGTTGCCCAGAATGTGTTTTGTAAAGTGTGTGCTTGAAGAGTTAATGAAAAAAGGAATGAATGAACGAATGAAATGTATAAAAGTAATTGTTCGATAAGAATATGTTGAGAAGGAGGCCAGGTGCAGCCCCTTGGGCAGTGTACAGACCCCGCCCCTGGCTCTGTAATCCCCGTACATCCCCAACCACCTGAACCACAGCAGAACTAGAACCACAGCAGAACTAGAAGCCCCCAAATACCCGGAGGCTTATCAGGTATAAAAGGCGGCTGGAAGCCAGGCTCGGGGCTCAGCCTTTGGAGGGGACTCCGCAGGGCCAGCACCTGTGCACATGAAACAGTCATTTTCTAATCCTCCGAGTGCACACAGTCTGTCTCTTCCTGCCGACCAAACTTCTGCCGCAACAACATGTTAATATGTAAGAAATTCACATTGAAATATTTGTCTTGCACAACCCCGAACAAGAATTTGGCAGCTCCGGCTGATCAAACATCAGCTGCAGAATTCGGTTATGTCACAGAGCTTTGTTTCAATTCCTTCACAGAAGTCGTGCGTCCAATTCCCTGACCGGGAATTGAACCAGCAACGTGTTGGTGCAGGGTCAATGCTCAGCCACTGAGCCACACCAGCCGGGCCTAAGTAAAGACCTTTGTAATCACTGTGTCAATGCCTTAAATCCCCATTCCCCCGAAAAATCGTAATATTGTGTTAATCACAAGGCCTGAGACCACATCGATATTTTGCCTCATCTGATCAGTTCCAATGCACAGAATTGCTTTTAATTTTAATATTTTATACTTAAAAGTCTTTAATCCAATGAAATGTTGCACCAATTTCTTATCTTTGTATATTCAAATTATTCTAGCCCCTTTAAAATGTCAGGTCCCTGAGTCCCAAACTCAAGCACCTGAGATAATGCGTTGACATTTTTGAAATGGTTCAAAGCAGCATGTGTGACTCCAGAGTCAGGCACACAAAAGAAGTTGTTTCCTCTTTGTTCAGAAAAGCCCCTTTCAGCCAGTCTCAGGTTTCCATGACAACTGACGAAAAAACGGCAGGAAAAACTAGAGGAAGCAAATTCAGGTATCTTGACTCATAAATATTTAGTAAGTAACAATAGACCAAGCAAGCTGGTATGATTCAGGGCCCAGTTCAAAAGAAAACCATTTTTTTTTAAATTAGAAGTCTCATTTTCTTTCTCTTTCTTCGTACATAGTTTTTTTCGCATTGCTGTTCTGCAGTGAGTAATTGCTGTAATTCAGAAGTGAACAGAGAACTAATCTTTTTTTGGAGAGAGAAGTACAGCATTTTGAGGCCTCAAACCTCCAACGGTGACAGGAACAGAAGCACAATTATACTGCGTAACAAGTGTAATCGATCGAAACTTCCTCCTCTGACACTTCAAACCCATGAAACTTTCCTTGAGGAATTTATCACCCTCCTGCTATTAACTTTCTTAACTTCTTGTTCCCGAAAAACCAAGAAACTAAGCCAGACATGAGAAACGTTTTAGTTTTTATCTGCTCTTGGGCCCGTCTTTTCCTTTATTAGTAATTTCTAAGCATGTATTTTATTAATGGAATAACTTACAGTTCACTAAGATCCTTCAAGTGTATCCACACTGCATACAAACCTGTGAGCGGCATCTTTTATGTTCATCAATATGCATATAATCGAATGTCATAAATATCCAGCCCGTTACATAGAGGAGAAAACAGACACTCACAGGATCCGTGTGACTCTCTGAAGTAACAGGACATATAACTGGGAGAATCCGAACGCTCAGCCGGAAAATCCTAAAATTCGTAAGTGTTTCCATTACGCCAACGTGAATGTATCCTTTCTAACAGGGTTACCGAAACCGTCACCAGTTGTGAAATAATGTATCACTCGTCACTGTGCGTCATAGTTACTGATCAGACAAATATCAATCAAACAATCAACATCATCCTCTTACAGTTAAATATAAAATGCTCATACCTAGGATCAATGAGGATGTAAAAAATAAGATTTTTTTTGAGCTCCCAGCTCATTTTGGAGCACCAGCTTGCTGCCCTCGGGTTACATTCCCGCGTCTTGGTGGATCACACCTGGCGACACTCACCTCCTTCTGACGGTACTTGATGGCCAGTTTCAGCCTGGCAAGGTCATTGCCGCTTTGCTCTTCTAGGAGACTGTTGTCATCGCGGTAATTGAGAATGATCTCCAGTTCCCGGGAGCTCCTCGTCTGGTCCAGGAGGTCCTTGGCGAACTGCTTGCACTGCCGCGACAACTCTTCGTACTCAGCCTTGAACTCATTCTCCACTTTGCTCAGCTCCTGCAGCTCCCAGCTCAGCTGGAAGGCGGTCAGAAAGGGGTCCTCGCTGGACAGCGCGATGAGCGACGGGCTGGCCAGGGCCTTGTAGATGTTCAGCCTGGAGCAGGAGTGGCGGAGACTGTCCACGTCCGAGCTGGACACGCATTCCACGCAGTTGCAGCGGACCTCGTGCGGCCTGGGCACCGACACTCCCTTCTGAACTAAGAGCTTGATGATCTCGTAATTGTTCGTGTGGGCGGCCAAAATGATGGGCGTGATGTCCGGGGTGAATTCGGAGAACTGCTTGTCGAGGAGTAAGGGGGGCACCTAGGAGGAAGAGGAGGGCAGAGGTGAGGACCCGTGTTCCTTGGCGCAGGCCTGTGGATTTCAAACAGCTTCTACCCCCGCGTGGCAGACGCTCAGAAATCAGTTCCTGTGGTATGCAGGAGAGGTACCGCTGTTTTCCCCAGAACTGCAAGAGAAAGTTACAGAAAAAATAACTTCCCGGTACAAATGCCGTTGTTCTCTCTCTAATCTGCATCACAACCTTCCAGGAATCGGAAACCAGTGGTTACGGACACGCTCTGCCTCATCCCGGCCCTTCTCGCTCCCAACTCACTTTCTGACGGACAATCTCTGCTTTTCCTTCCCAGAGATGTTGACTCTCTAAAGAATCAAGAAACGCATTAGAAAGTAGCTGATGATTTGTTCTAAAATCAAGTTTTCCTCTGCGATAGAAGTACTTTAGTTCTTCAGTGTTTAGCGGTATTTGTTGTTGTTGTTGTTGTTGTTTTGTGTGTGTGTGTTTTGTGTCCTGACAGTGCACCGATGATCAGAGGTGGCAGCAGAACGTGAGAGGCTGGCCTCATGCTCCCTGTCTCCTTCTGTTCCCCTATGGTCTATTGTCCAGGTGACAAGAGGCACTTCACTGTTAACATCATTGTCTTGTTAAAAATATACAAATGTGCCCTGGCCGGTTTGGCTCAGTGATTAGAGAGTCGGCCTGTGGACCGAAGACTCGTAGGTTCGATTCTGGTCAAGGGCACGGACCTTGGTTGCGGTTCGTCCCCAGCCCTCATTTGGGTCCTTTGAGAGGCAGCCAGTCAATGTGTTCCTGTCGCGTCAATGTTTCTCTCTCTCTCCCTCCCTCCACTCTGTCTAAAGATAAATAGGAAAAACATCCTCGGGTGAGGATTGAATAAATACATAAAGAAAGAAATAAACAGATGCTCCCCAGGGAAGTAGGTCAGTAGTGTGTTTATGCATAATTTCTTGTGGGTTCCACTCAAGAAATGATCATGAAAGGATAACGTAATAGGTTAGCACACCTCTGCCAGATATATTAAGCCTCTCTGTTTATTGGTCACATAATCACAGATGCGGTCCCTCTGGAGGTGAATGGAAGGCCTGGTTGTTGAGCCCAGGACCACCCGTCTGGCCCTCAAGTTGACATGTCTTGCATCACACCACGCTGCTGGGCAATTTTGGGTTTAATGTTTCTTCCTGTTGGCGTAAGATCATGGTGGCATCCATGAAAATCAAAGCTACAAGGTAAGCAGATGTGAGAAAAAATAATGACATGTGTCACATTGCAATATGTTGCTGGTAAATAGGAAGGATGTCGCAATAGAGTTGAAAACGAAACAACGATGCAGGAAAATCAAAACTGATGTAAACATCAATCACACGGCATTTGAGTAGAGGTGTCGGCTTTATATGTGAATAATTAAACTATCACGTTTTTATCTGGCCCTGTAAAAAATCCATTTGTTCGATAAGAAACACTATATATATTCCCAGCCGGTGTGGCTGCTCAGTGGTTGAGCATCGACCCTGCACCAAGAGGTCGCCAGTTTGATTCCCGGTCAGGGCACATGCCCAGGTTGTGGGCTGATCCCCAGTGGGGGGCGTGCAGGAGGCGGCCAACCGATGTTTCCATCTGTCTCTCCGTCTCCTTTCCTCTCTTTTGAAAATCAATAAAGGAAAAGAACATTAAAAAATAAATTAACACTATATAAAAATTAGAAGAATTAAATTATCTATTTGAAATACTTGAAATCAGTTGATAGAAAAAGATAGTAGCCCTCACAATATTAAAAAGGTGTTTATTAGGCCGGCTGGTGTGGCTCAGTGGACTGAGTATTGTCCCGTGGACTGACAGGTCCCGGTTTGATTGCCAGTCGGGGCACGTGCCCAGGTGGCAGGCTCGATTCCTGGTGGGTGGTGTGCAGGAGGCAGCCGATTGATACTTCTCTCTCACATCGATGTTTCTCTCTCTCTCTCCCTTCTAAAGAAAAAAAAATTTTTTTAAATGTGCTTATTATAGAAACCATATTGCCTTTTGGGATAATATGTTAATTTAAGTAGGGTCAATACATGCATCATTATTTTTTAAGGAATCTGTCATTTTAAAGATAACATTAACAGATAATTTAGTAAAGTATTTTACATGGCAGACATGTAGGGAAAAATAAAGCTAAAAGTAAATAAATTTCTACAGTAAATGCAGATTTAAGTGACAGGCAGATGTAATTTAATGGGGTTTTCTGGAGTCAGTATAATTTTGTCATAGATTTATATATATATATTTAAAGTATCAATGATTTATTAAAGCTAAAATGCAACTTTGAAAACTTTACAGGAAGCTTTGTGGAAAAAAAATTATAGCATGAGTACACTGAAAAGCATACATTTTAAACACACAACAACCCAATCTACGGGACACAGCAAAAGCAGAGCTCAGAGGGAGTTCCATGACATTGCAGGCCTACCTCAACACGCAAGAAACATCTCAGATAAACAATCAAACCCTGGTCCTGTAAGAATTAGAAAAAGAACATAAAAAAAAGCCCAGAGTAACTAGAATAAAAAAATAATAAAGATTAGAACAGAAATAAATGACACAAAGATTAAAAAATTATAATAATGGACAAATGAGACCAAGGGCTGGTTCTCTGAAAAGATAAAAGAAGATCAATGAACCTCTAGCAAGACTCATAAAAAACAAAAAACAAAAATAAAATCAGAAATGGAAAAGGAGGAGTAACAACTGATTCCACAGTAATACAAAGGATTGTAAAAAAATACTATGAACACGTATATGCCAACAAATTTGGCAATCTGGGTGAAATGGACAAATTACTAGAATCACACAATTGTCCAAACTCAACCAGGAATAGTCAGAAAGCCTGAATAGACTGATGGCAACTAATGAAATTGAAGCAGTAATACAGAGCTCTCAGCATACAAAAGTCCTGGACTAGATGGCTTCACAGGCAAATTTTACCCAATATTCAAAGAAAAACTAACACCTATCTCCCTCAAACTGTTTCACAATATTTAAGAGGAAAGTAGATTTCTAAGGTCTTTTTATAAGGCCACGATTATCCTAATTACAAAGACAGACAGAGACACTGAGAAGAAAGAAAATTACAACATCCCTGATGAACATAGATGCCAAAACCCTCAACAATATATTAGCAAATCAGATTCAGCTACCCACAAAAAAGATCATATGTTATAATCAAGTGGAATATATTTCTAGGATGCAAGATTGTTGCAATATTTGCAAATTATAAAATGTGATGCATCACATAAACAAAATGGAAGTTAAACATTACATGATCTTATCAGTAGATGCAGAAAAAATATTAGCTAAAATCCAGCACCCATTTATGATAAGAAAAAAAAACCACAAAAAACCCCCCCAAAACTCAGCAAAGCAGCAATAGAGGGATCATACCTCAACATAATCAAGGCCATCTATGACAAACTTAAAGCTAACATCATACTCAAGGGGCAAAAACTAAAATCATTTCCATTAAGATCAGGAAAAATATAGGGATGCCTGTTTTCACTCATATTCAGTATAGTACTGGAAGTCTTAGCCACAGCAATCAGACAAGAATAAGAAATAAAAGGCATCCAAATTGGAAAGGAGGAAGTGAAATACTCGTTATTCATGGATGACATGATATTGTATATAGAAAACCCTAAAAACTCCACCAAAAAACTAATAGTTCCAATAAATTAATTTGGCAAAGTAGCAAGTTACAAAATTAAAATTCAGAAATTGGTAGAATTTTTATACATGCAATAATGAACTATTAGAAAGAGAAACTATGAAAACAATTTCAATGATTATTGCAGCAAAAATAAGGTACCTAGAAATATAGTTAACCGAGGAGGTAAAAGACCAGTACTCTGAGAATTAAAGGATTTTGAAGAAAAGAACTGAGAAAAATACAAGTAAGTGGAAGCATATACCATGTTCATGGATTGGAAGAATTAACATCATTATAATATCCATACTATCCCCAATAATCTACAGATTCAATACAATTCCCATTAAAGTACCGATGGCATCTTTCACAGCACTAGAACAAATATTCCAAAACATTAAAAATGAAATTCTTTTTGACCCAGGAATTTCACTTCTAGGAATATATCTTAAGAGTCTTAAAAAAATCAGTTTGAAAAAATATATGCACCCCTATGTTCATAGCAGTGCTATTCACAATAGCTAAGATCTGGAACAGCCCAAGTGCCCATCAGTAGATGATGGATAAAAAGCTGTGGTACATGTACACAATGGAACACTACATGGTTGTAAAAACCAAAAGATCTCTTATCTTTTGCTACAGTGTGGATGGACCCGGAAAGTATTATGCTAAGGAAAATAAGCCAGAAAGAAAAAGACAAATACCTTATTATTGTACTTCCATGTGGAATCTAATGAACAAAATAAACTGACCAACAGAACAGTACCAGAGGCAGGGACACATGGAAGAGACGGGCAGCTGTCGGGGGGGTGGTAGTAGTGGGGACTGGATGAGAGAAGGTGAAGAAATCATTGCAGAACATACATGCGTAGCCTGTGGACACAGACAACAGTGTAGTGGTGTCCAGAGGGAGGGGCGTGGGGGCTGGGTTGGGTTTGATAAGGAGAGGAGAGGACATCTGTAATACTGTCACAAATCAGTTAAAGAAAAAAGAAAAGCACACTTTTTATTTCAGAAAAAATGTCAGTGTCATAATGTTAGAGATACCATTAAATGACTGATTCAAATACGTGAGACTATATCAAGAATAAATATTCTGTTTAGGATGGTTAATACCAAATAAATCATTGAGAATTTATAATTTTTAATACGTAAGCATTTATAATTTTATTTTTACAATAACTAAGTTTTAAAATAATTGTTAAATAGTACTATTTTATAGGACCACAAATATATTTAATAATAGTTAATTGGTCAATAAATAGCTATAATTAATTAATTAATTAATTATTTTTGGTATGTGCCCCTCGCGGGAACCAAACCCGG